GAGGAGAACCTCCCTCGCCCTGCTGCCCACACTCCTCCTCATGCACCCCAGGATCCCATTGGCCTTCTTGGCACCCAGGGCACACTGCTGGCTCATGGTCAACCTGTCGTCCACCAGGACACCCAGGTCCCTCTCCACAGAGCTGCTCCCCAGCAGGTCCACCCCAAGCCTGTGCTGATGCATGGGGTAAATGCTGGTAATAAACTCACTGCAGGCTGGAGGAATATCTTGGTGGGCTTCTCTTATTCCTCTGTCTTCCCTTTCCATCTCCCAGGAAGAATCCAACCCTGAAGCGTCCCCTGCTCTCGACTGCTCTGGTGCAGGTGCTCTTACGGGGATGGCAGCAGGCGGGCAGACACATGAACGGGCTCGGGGAACGTGCATGGACCTCTCTGTCCACCTCCTCAGTCGGCCCAGCCGCCCACAGCACGTCACAGGGACCACTGGGTTGCTCTGGAGCAGAGCTTAGGAAGATGGTGCTGCAGAAGTGCATGAAATTCACATTCGTGGTGGCGTTCGAGCCACCCCAACGGGGCACTGAATAATTCAGTCCTTAAAAAATTAAGGACAGCGTTTCTCAGCGCTGCAGCTCGGATCAATCCTGCCACAAATTTTGCTGCTTTTGTCCAAGGAGTATTTATTTTTCATGAGCCTGACTTAACGAAGGCTTGTGCTGTCGTTAGCCAGGGCTGGAACTGGACCTGTGAGACCCAAACAAGACAATGGATGAGGATGGTGCTGAGGATACGCCAGCAGGGATGTCAGACCTCACAGGAGAACAAAGATGATCGGAGGTTGAAGCAGATCCAAGCTCCCGGAAAGGTTCCTTTCCACCACTGTAAATTTATTCCTCCTGATGGACTTTGCCTCAGTTTCCCCATCTGTAAATCTAACACCTTCCAGTGAGTCCACACAGCATTTAGAAGGCCACCAGGTCTTTCAACTTGCAGGTGGCCCCTTCACTGTAGGCTTTAACTTGTGCGATGCTGCAGCTTCCAGCGATGAGCTGGTGCCAGAAACCCGGGATGAGCTGGAGGATTGCTCAGCTCAAGGCAGTAGGTCACGTCAGATGGAACGACTCGCTCCACCTGACTTCCCAGCACTGTGAGGGCTCCAAGGAAATGCATCCAGCAATTAAAAGAAGTTTATATAACGGCAGAGACAAAGTCATCTTTGATGTGTTCCCAGCAGAAAGAATTCCTTCAAATCGCTCTGTAGAAATGCCCATGGGGTCTTCTAAATGCTTGCGGAGGGAGTTGGATCACACCCACCATTGGCCACAAAGCCACATGGAGACCCAAGCTCATAAAGCCCAGGGGACGCACTGCCCCAAAAAAGGACATTTCATGCCTCTTTCGAGGGAAATCATCCTGTTTCAACCTGGTTCCTGCCTAGGATGGAAAGCTTGGCTGGAGGAAACCACTCTCCAGCACTGAGCGTCTCTGTACCAGCATCCCAGGACACCGTCCCCAATGTCTCAGCCCTGTACTGAACAAGGACCTAAACTTCTCACGCTCTCCATAGCCAGTCAAGTGCTCTTTCATGGCTACTTGCAAGCTGTCATCTTCAGGAGGTACATGGCCATGAACAGAGGACAACAGGGAGAGGACCGATGGTGGGACAGCAGAAGTTGTCGAGGAGGAGACAGCCTGTGATGCATTCAGAGTCACACAAGACCCTGATCTATGAGGCAGCAGGTCAGAAAACCTCCTCAGAAAGCCACCTCCCTTGGGGATGACCCAGATGGGCCAGTCACAAGTGCCATATATCTTAGTCTGGGAGATTTGGACCTTTTGGCAAGATGGAGATGGACAAGTCCAGTAGTAACATGACAGTTGGTTTGAAGGGAGTTTTCCATCACACAACCCAAATGAAGCTCTGGAGTTGGATCCTGATAAGGGGTTTGGTCAGTCTGGTCCTTGAAACGTGTCACCCATCACACTCCTTCACATCTCCAGCATGGTTTGTTCCACGTTCAGCTCAAAAAAGCTCAGGTAAACCCAACTTCACATTGGGAGATGGAGAGTCCATCCCAAAAAACACCCAGACCTCACACAGAAGAAAGGACCGAGTTATTAGCAAAAGCAGAAGATGCTCATGGACTGTTTGAAGTGACCCATCTGTCAGTGGAAAAGGCCAGGCTCTCCGTTAGCTGAGCAGCAGGAGGCAGCGTGATGGGAGACGGCACTTCCTCGGTGAGCACGGGGCTCGTGGGACCAACCATGCTCTGCAGGACACTGCTCCTCTCCTCCAGGACCCGGCTTGGAGCTGTGTGCCTCAGGGATGTCTGTTCCCTGTTCTTGCTTAGTCCAGGCAGCGCATCAACTCGTCAGACCAGCCCAGGGTTTCCAACAAGGGTAATTTTCTCCAGCTGGAACATTAAATCTGCATTAGGCTTAGTCACGCGTGCTTGGATTCACCAGATCTCCGCTGACCTGCCGGCGCCCGCGAACGCCGGGTTAAACTGAGCAGAGGCATTGGCTGATCCATCTCCTGGTGACGTTTCCCACGGCCAGAAGCCCGTAGGTTCCTTCAACATCGCTGACTCCATTGCTTGGGCACGGCTCGTGAGGCGGGGGAACGGTTTAAAACCCACGGGGTTGTATGCAGGGGATAGACTATCGTTGGAGGGGGGGTGAGGAATCCGATTTTTGCCACCTCCAGGCTGAGTCAGGTGGGGAACAATTGATGCTGAGAAGTGAGGATGATGCTGCAGAGAGGCGAGGGTGTGGGGACGTCAGCAGGAGTCTCGTAGTCCAGCCTTTTCCCTAAAGAGGGTACTGGTTGTCCTTCCTGAGGGCAAGCACATTGCCAGCCCCAAATCTGAATCAGAGTTGAAATCAAGAAGAGCAGGAGAAGCATTTTCACCCTCCTTACCCCCGGCTCGGTCCCACCGGCGGCACGCAGCTCCCGCTGGCCACCTCGAGCCCAGCCAGGAGGAGGTCTCTGGTGAGCAGGAGTCCTCTGCTCCACTGGGTCTCAGGTTCTCAGATTTGCCAGACACTCCTTGTCATAGAATCGTAGAATGGTTTGGGTTGGAAGGGACCTCAAAGATCATCTGGTTCCAACCCCCCTGCCTTCAGCAGGGACATCTTTCACCAGCCCAGGGTGCTCAGAGCTCCATCCAACCTGGCCTTGAACCCCTCTGGCCCCGCTCCAACACATCCATGTCCTTCCTATGTTGGGGGCTTCAAGCTGAAATGGTGCCTGGGAGAGCAGGCCAGCCCTCCCACAGCAGCCTCTCATGGCACGGTGCTCCCGTCTCCCCTGCCAGCACCCACAGGATGTCTCTGAAGGACACAGCCATGCCCCACCTCAGGATCACTCTTCGCAGCCTGAGGTGAGCGCAGAAAGTCTTGGGCACAATCCTGAGGAGGCTGGGAGCCACCAGCCTTCTCCTGCAGCCATGAGCTGCCCTGGGGTCGCACAGAGGCTGATCTGGGACAGGAAAATCAGCTCTTTGATTCTCAGGCTGGATAAACACCAAAATCTGCATCGTTCTGGAGCTCAGGGGTGAGTATGGCAATGGTGACAGGGGTGAAGTTTCACAACACCTTCACACGCCTGAGCTGTCCTGGGCCAGATGTGGAGCTGGAATCAGCTGGGAATGGGCACAACTTCTCCCAGAGACTGTGGCCTTGCAGTTCTCAAAAACCACCAGGAATAGCAAATAAAGGAAACAACGTTCTTATCCATTTCTTTCCCCTCAGCTCTCCCCCCGTGCCCAGTTCCCCCAGGCTGGACACCGAGGGGTGGCTGCGGAGGGTTCCAGTGCAAGGTGCAGAGGTCACACCTGCCCTTTTGTGAGAGTTGGATCACAGAATCACAGAATGGAAGGAGTTGGAAGGGACCTCTGTGGGTCACCCAGCCCAACCCCCTGCCCAAGCAGGGTCACCCAGAGCAGGGGGCACAGCACCGCGGCCAGGCGGGGCTGGAATATCTCCAGAGAAGGAGACTCCACAGCCCCTCTGGGCAGCCTGGGCCAGGGCTCCGGCACCCTCAGAGGGAAGAAGTTCTTCCTCGGGTTCAGCTGGAGCTTCCCAGGCTTCAGTTTGTGCCGCTTGCCCCTTGTCCTGTCGCTGGGCACCACTG